TTTTTTCAGTACTGGGGATTGAAGCCTCATGCATGCTAGGGAAGTGCTCTATTTCCACTTTTGGTTTGAAATAAGGTCTTAGCAAGTTGCCTGGGTTAGTCTTGAATTTGTTATCCTGCCTCAGCTTTCTGAGTGGCTGGAATTACAAATGTGTACCAGTGTAACCATCTTTGAATTAGTGAGTTTAATTTTTATTATGTATTATTTTGTTTTGAGACAAGGTCTCCTTATTGTAGCCCAGGCTGGCCTCCAATTTGAGATTTTCTTGCCTCACCCTATTGAATGCTTGGTTACAGGCATGTGCCACCTTGCTTAGCTGAATTACTGATTTTTTTAAAGTTAACTAAAAGCAAATAAGTGCAGGTAAAATAACAACTTTGCTTTAAGAGAAATAAAATAGTTTATTCTTCACCAAATACGAGTGATCGTGACCCAAAAATATGTATTCAAATTACCCTGAATGACATGTTCCACTGGAATAAGTTATATGAGCTTTTACACTCGCAGAGCAAAAGAAAAGGCTATCAATACATTTACCATGGGGACAGCATCAGACAGGTGGGCTGCAAGCAAAGCAGGGGAAATCTCCTTTCTAGGATTTAGATGGCTTTTTTTTTTTTTGATATTGGGAATCAAACTCACGACCTTGCGCTTGCCAGGCAGGTGCTGTGCCACTGAGCTATATCCCAGGCCATCAGATGCCATTTGAAACATTCTTAGCTTTAGGCTTTGTGGAGGTAAAAGGTGTGTCAAATTTAGCTGTACATCCCAAGGGTTTTATCTAGATGCCACAAGGATGTTAGATCAAATGCAAAGGTTGGTAGTAAGTAGCTGTTAATGTCACCACTAGAGTTGCCAGCGTAAGATGAAAATTATATATGGACTAGTTTCAGAAAAACAAAATGGGCGTGGGGCATGCCTATAATTGGAAGGCTGAGGCAGGAGGATCACTGTGAGTTCGAGGCCAGCCTGGGCTATAAAGTGAGTTCAGCTTTTTTTTTTTTTTTTTGGTACTGGGAATAGAACTCAGGACTTTGTGCTTCCAGGCAGGCACTGTGCCACCGAGTTATATCCCCAGCCCACAGTGAGTTTAAGACTAGCCTGAACTATGTAGCAAGACCCTGTCTCAAAAAGACAACAATAAACAAATAAACCAAAGCAAAACAAACAAAAAAAATGAAAGTTTATCCTAGGAAAGAAACAGTCCTGCAGGCAGCACAGGGTGGGTGGGGGCTGTGGGCATGGAAATGGTGGTGGTTCTCTGCTCTATGGGAAAGTAGCCCAGAACAAAACAGGCAATTCATTTTCATGGGTTCTCAAAGGAATGTCCTTAATTATTCATGTTTTAGGAAAGGATGGGGCTTCTCAACCTGATAGAGCTTTACTACTTTGAAGGTTTGAGTTTGAAAGCTTGGGGTTTCCTGGTGTTGTGGCACACACCTGTAATTCCAGCATTTGGGAGGCTGAAGCTGGAGGATCTCTGTGAGTTCAAAGCCAGCCTGCACTACATAGTGTGATCTTGTCTCAGAAACAAAAATTAAAAAAGAAAGGTTAGCGTCACCTATCCATCGGATCTGTCGCGCAGTCTGCCTGCACATCTCACTTCCTTATCCCAAAGAATACAACAGCTTGCTCACTTAATTAACAGCCTGATTGACATTTCCCCCTTATTGCCTTAAGCTGCTGCTGCCTACTTGTTTTCTCCCAGGCTGCTACCTCCAAGTCCCGCCAATACCCCAGCTCACTGAAAGGAGCTAAGGACAGTCCAAGTTAACTGGCTCTTAATCTGCAACAGTCCCTCTCACCGAACCACAGTGCTCTGGTCAGCCAAGTTCCAACAGTGTACATGCTCTTGAGTACAGATATGGCTTCTTCAGAGAACTTCAGTCCACCTAACGAAGGGAGAATATGAGGGCTCAGAGTCAGAAAAGTGAAAGGCACAAAAGCATATGTGTGAGCAGGCCGGCTGTGCCTATTGGCTGGTAATTATCAAGTCTTGGAGACAGATGTCTTGTTCTTTTGATGGTTACATTCCTAAGAATAGTCCCCCTAATCCTTGAAAGATATTTCTGACTTGTAAAAGACACTTATTTATAATTGTAGGCCCTTCTTTTGGTAAATGCCTTGCAAATGATTGTGGCCCATCAAGCAAGGGCTGGGTTATGGGTAAGAACTGATGAAAGGTCTGAGAGAAAGAGGAAGAAGTCTCTCCACCCACTAGTGCACTCTTCACAGAACACCCCAAAACCCTTCCTGCCCTCTTCCTCTGTCTTGCCTGATCAACTCTACAAGGGGACAAGGATGGGATTCTACTGGACACTGGGATGCTGGAGGCCAAGTGGGACTTGCACAAGTAGTGTTAAGAGAAAAATTCCTTCTCCTTCTCTTTTTTTTTTTTTGTATTTTTGGTCTTTTTGAGACAGGGTCTCCCTATGCAGTTCAGGCTGGCCTTGGGATCACTTTGTAGCCCAGGCTGGTCTTGAACTCATGATGATCTTCCTGCCTCAGCTGGGATTACAGGCATGAGCCATCACGCCCAGCTGCCTCAGCTTCCGGAGTCCTGGGATTATAGGCATATGCTACCATGTCTGGAAATAGGAAAAATTCCTTAGGCCAATTACATCAGGTAGTTTACCTGAGCAAAGAAAAACAAAACAAAAAAGTTGCAAATTGGGCAGCTCCCAGAATCAGAACAGGTTCTGAGAACCCCAGCTAACCATGTGATCAGGCAACATATATGGAAAAATGGGTCAGTCATAGAAAACAATTTACTTGGCTATAATTTATTCAATCACCCAGTCAAATAGCTATAAGGCCTCTTGCAAAAAGTCAAAGCTTAATTACTATGATTAAATTCTCTTATCCAGCTGGGTGTGGTGGCTCATGCCTGTAGTCCCAGTACTTGGGAGGCAAAGGCAGGAAGATTGCCACAAGTTCAAGGCCAGCCAGAACTACAGAAGGAGAGCCTGTCTCAAAAAGCCCCCCCAAGAAAACTCTTATCCGTTTGGTCTGTTGGGTCCACTGAAGATATTCAATTCAAATCCACGACCTTCTAACAAGTTTTATTTTTAATAGCAACTAGTGAAAAACTGTACCAGAACCAGGTCTGCCTCCCTGGGGTCTTTTGAAGGATGAACAGAAGATACAGACAATGGGGGAGAAAAAGTGAGAACGAAAAAGAGAGCTCTAAAGAGGCAGATGACTAGAAGATGGCAGGAAACTAGAAACTGGGGGTTGGGGATAAGACTAGAAATAGCATATGGGAAGGGTCAGAGTGGCCTCCAAGGAGAAAGAGCTCAGCTGGCATGTCAGGGCTTTGGGGAGTCTCATTCAACCAATGGCAAGATGGAGCCCAAGTGACTTGCCCAGGGATGTCCACAGCATTTGCAAGTGCTGACTAGAACCGAGCCTCAGTCCCCCGAACCTAGCCCAGGGATCTCTCTTTGGCCTGTGTGACGGGGACGAGGGGCCAGTGGGTTAGGTCATGGGCGCAAGTGCTGAACGACAAAAGGAATCTTTGTGCCAAAGCAGGCCAGGCACCTTCACGACCTGGGTGGTTGAAAAGCTCCACTTAAGTCTGGAGGTGCCCTTAGCCCTCAGAGACCAAGGAAGCCAGGGCCAAGCACTCCCAGCAAGTGATGCTGAAGTTGCAATTTCAATTGGGCCAAAACCTGTTCAAAGGAGGTCAGAAATGCCCCATCAGCATTCGGTGACTTTCAGAAACTGCCAAGAGATGGCCAGGATCTTTTGGGAACGTCAAAGCAAGAATCAAGAACCACATCACTATTTTTTGCACAGGCCACGATTTCTTGAGAAAACTTTAGGAATAACTGAGATGACTGGAAAATGGTGAGGGAGCTGCTGAACTCAGCCGAATGCATACGGTACTTTCTGAAGCTTCCAGAGACACATTCGGGCTCTCAAGGCTCTCTGAGATTTAGTCAATAATCTTGAATGTTTAGTAGATCTGTTGATCACCTAAATCAGGATGGTTTCCTGTACCTCGGCCATTTCCAAAATTGCTCGCAATACACCCGAGAGTGGCGCCCTCTGGCGGCAGAGGCGGGAGGGCGCGGGAGACCGCGCGTGCAGGCGTAGTTACTTGCCTACGGCCGTTCAGACCGGATGTGGTTGCGCCTGAGGTCACTTCCGGCGGGTGACGGTGCGGACGGGTCAGGAGCGTAGAGGCGGCGGCAAAATGGCGGCGCCTGAGGAGCGGGATCTAACCCAGGAGCAGACAGAGAAGCTGCTGCAGTTTCAGGTAGCGGCGAGTACTCGGTGCAGCATATGCCGCCGCGGGATGGGGAGTGGACCCCTAGAAGAGCGTATAACTGTCCTCAGATTGGGTCCGGGCTCTTTTTCAGACCAGAAAGCTGCCCCCTCCCCCCCGACGCCAACTGCCCCGATTCCTCTCTCCCCCAGCCTCTGTTGGTCCCCAGCATTCCAGCCATCGCTGCCAGCCCGGCTCGCCTCTTCCGTTTCCCTCTACCCTCAGCGGGTCAGTTTCCGTAGTTTTCCTTAGCGCCGCCAGTCCTCAGCCATCCTTCCCAGCCCACTGACTCTAGACCTGCCCGAGATGCTTAAGCCCCAGCGCAGAGCTGGCGTCGGTTGTCTCTGGAACACCTCCCACCGCCATCCCATACTGTGTCCGCAGACATTAATGGGGGCCTCTCGGGTAGCCGGTCTCGTGTTGGGGGCTGTGGTGGGGACGGAAGCACCTACTCACAGGCCTGGCCTCTGCCCTAGAGCTGTGGGAGGACACCGCGTACCGAAACAATGCAACAGAAGTACCGTCGTTGGCTTCTGACGGGGTTTCCTGACTTCTGCTTATTCCTGGACTCCTGTGCTTGACTATGCTTGAGGAGGGTGGCAACTTGCAGGAATTTGCCTCCTTTTAGTGGATGTTATGTTAAGAACGCTTGGCCCTAAACGCTTAACCTCTGAGCTGGAGAATCTGGTTGGAGGAGATCACTACGGCGGATGACTGTGGCTTTGTTACCAGTTTTATCTCTTAAATGTGAATCTTAAAAATGTCTGCTTCCCTGAGGATGTTACGGAGGTCAAATGAGTTTGTGGTTGTTAGAAGCGCATTGTAAACAGTAAAATGCTCCCAAACAGAGTTACTGCTATTAATCATTATTTAAGTTGCAACTGAAGTTGTTACACTTATTTCCTAATATATAATGTGCACAATCTATATTCAGCAGCGTTTATGAAGAACTTAAGTGCTGAGGCACTGCCAGGTAAAATAGCATTTACTGAATATTTACCATGCTGTAAATACCTTGCTAAATATTTGGTATATGTTATCTCATTAAATATTCACAACAACCCTGTGAGGTTCATCCTGGTGTAGGACATATTTTACAGATAAAGGATATAAAACTTTTTTTTTTTTTGTCTTTTTTGAGACAGGGTCTTGCTATGCAGTTCATGCTGGCCTTGAGCTCACTTTGTAGCCCAGGATGGTCTCGAACTTGCAATGATCCTCCTGCCTCAGCCTCCCGAGTGCTGGGATTACAGGCGTGTGCCACCACGCCCGGCAACGATATAAAATTTAAGAGCTAACAATACTTTCGTTACACAGCTGGTATGTAGCCGTGTCAGATTTAAAGCCAGGACCACCTTTCCAAATCCTTTTCCGGGTTAATTTCTCTGCTACACTCCCGTATAAGCATCAGAGTACAGATGAGATAGAATACAAATGCTGTAATAATAATTTTTTGTTTTCTGTAATTTCTTTGATTGTATTTTATTACAATTTGTGAGGTATTTTTCCCCTCTTAAATTGAGCAGTGTGTTGAAAGTGTATGAATGGTAAAATGCTATCATAGACATAGTCGATATTTGATGAAATTTTTTTTTTTTTTTTTTTTTTTTCTGGTACTGGTAATCGAACTCATGACCTTGCGCTTGCCGGGTAGGCGCTGTGCCGCCAAGCTAAATCCCCAGGCCCTTGATGTAAATTTTTGTAGAGGTGTTAATGACAGATTAGAATTGAAGAGTGAGTAAACAGCGAGCAACAATCTTCCAGTTCCTTGTAAAACACCAATTTCAGAATTTTATTTAACTTGTGCAAGCCATTTTATACTTTACAACTCTTCAGGGGTAAGCCCCCTGTTACTTAACTATAACAAGGAGATGTAAGTTATAAATCATGGTGTAATCTTGTACTGGAAGAACATGAATGTATGGTAACATTTCTGAGTTAAAGAGCATAGAAACTTGCATTTTTTTATTCATTGGCTATCTATATCAGGAGAGGTGGGCAGCAGGTTAATCTGTGCTGATTGCTTTATGAAACTGAATTGAGGGAATGCGTTTTATGTGTGTATGCTATAGGAAAACACTGGATCCGATTTGTCATACATATTGCCATTAAACATTCTTTGAAACTTACTAGATGTCAAGCATTATAGAAGTTGATATGCCATACCTTAATTCTTTTTTTGAGGTGTGGGGTATCAGGAATCAAACTCAGGGCCTTGCAATTGCTAGGCAGGAGCTTGTGCCACTGAGCTATATCCCCAGCCCCCATACCTTAATTCTTAAACCTCTTGAAACAACTATGGTTAACCTCCATTCATTTTATTTATGAAGAAATAGGTTCTGAGAAGTCAAACAACTTGAACAAGTAGTAAGTAGCAGAGATTTATACTTTTTAAATTTTCCATGCTGGAATGACAGAGACTTAGAAATCCGTATCCATAACTATTTGTATGTAACCTAATGGAGAAGGCAGGTACGTACATGAATAATGAGAGTGCCCAGCAAGATAGATGTACTCATAGTGTAATATGGTACATAAAAAAATGATAGCCAGGCAACTTGGTACATGCCTAATTCCAGCACTCTGGAAGGTGAGGCAGGAGGATTGCAAGTTTAAGCCCAGCCTGGTCAATTTAGCAGCTTAGCTGGGCCCCTGTCTTGAAATTTAAAACTGGAGTTGGGTGGGGATGTAGCTGAGTATGAAGGCCCTGGGTTGAAATACTGAAATACCCAGGATTGAGTACTCAAACTCCAGTACTACAAGAAAGAACAACAACAACAAAATGCTCTGAGTCAGATGTGATGGTGTATGCCTGCAATCACAGCTACTTCAGAGGCTGAGATAGGATTGCAACTTTGAGGCCAACTGGTGCAATTTAGCCACTATCTTAAAAAAGGGCTGGGGATGTAACTCAGTGGTAGAACACTTGCCAAACAAACCCAGTAAGTGCTGTGGGTACTTAGCAAAGGATCAGAGTATTAAATGGGGAGGGGTTAAGATGATTTATAGGTGCTATTTATTATTTACTGTGCCTTGAGCATTATGTTAGATACATTATAACCATTATGCTTAATCTGCACAATAATGTACAATAATGTGCCTGCTCTCTTAAGATCTGTTGACATATTTACTCAAGGTCCTTAAGCTGTTAAGTAGTGGAATTCTAGTGGGTTTGATCTGCCCTGAAAGGCTGAGGTTCCTACCACTGTACCTTATTGCTTTGAAGGAGTAAAATTTGAACAGGCAGTGAGCAGGAGGATGTTCAGAGCTGGGAGATAGGTTGCACACACTGATGTGGGAAAGTGTGGAATGTGTCTGTTTTGGTGGATTTAGAGAATTGGAAGTGGAAAATAAGACTGGAAAAGTAAACTAGAGCCATCTTGCTTTCAATGCTTTTTATATAATCTGGAAGCCTAGGGAACCATCAAAGTTTTTTTTTCAACTCGGAAGTGACAACCCTAGGTTTCAGGTTTCCTTCATTAGTAGTATGGATCTGTGGGCCAAATTAAACCTCACTTTAGCAAACTAAAACAAAACAACGAAACCAGTTTGAATCATAGGCTTAGACTCTTCAGTGTTTAGGGTAGAACAGGTGACACCACAAGAAGCAGGTTCTCTGTTTTCTTATTTGAAATACTGAATCTAGTGAAAGTAAAATATTTTGGAAATCTCAGGTTTCCTGTTTCTCTTTTCGTAACACGTGATTTGATTGGAACTCTATAAGGCATATTTATTGTTTCTCAGTTGATGGGATGTTTCTAAGCTTTTTCTATAGTTCTCCATTTCTCCTGTTTATTTTGGAGCCAGTTAGTATGAAGAACTAATGCAGACACTTGTTCTGAGCTATTTCACATGGGAAGAATACAGTGTATCAGTTTTAAGAAGAGCTAATGCACATATGTGGAAGGTTACCTTTTTTTTTTTGAAGGTTACCTTTTTTGGAATACATTTCTTCAATATTCCAGATACAACAGACTCCACTAGTGCTTTGGTGTACTGCCTCTAGGTTGCTGTTTGAACAACTGGGCAAGGATAACATGGGACAAAGAGAGGGAACTAAAGGAGCTCTGTGTTGTCTCTGGAGAAAGAAATGATCTCTTTTCTGCTTATGCAGGAGTAAGAAATTTTCCCTTTTAAATGGACAGTAAGATATGACCCTTATCTTCTTAAGTTATAGTAAGTAAAACCTGAAATCCACGCTGTTGAATCAAATTTATAAGTCATTTTGAAAATCATCTTTTTTATTTCCCCTGGCTGTTACCCTGGTAGTGAGGAATATGATGTTTTTTGTTCATGAACTTAAAAAAATCATAGTGATTTGGTTTTTTCCAGGAAATTTGACATTGTAGAGAGAACATGAGCTTTAGAACACTAGGTAAACATGAATCAGCTTTTTAACTTAGTTTCTTGTGAGTTTTATGATCTTGGTTAGGTTTTTCTTTAAATGTTGTTCCTCTACTATAAAATGGGGATACTGTTATGTAGTTGACTGGACTCTTTTTCTTTTTTACTTTTAGAAAAGCATCAGTTTTGGATGCCGTGGTTCACACCTGTAATCCTAATACTCAAGAGGTTGAGGCAGGAGGGCTATGAGTTTGAGACTACAGAACCCATAGTTTTTTATCTCAAACAGCAGAATAACCTACCAAGTCATTTATGTATCCAGGCATACTTGTTGGAAGTTGACAGCATACATCTGCATAAAATAAGTAATTAAGTCTTGTTTTATTCCTCTCATCCTAATTCTAGATTTGTTATGTGTCTTTTTCATCTACATATTCATATGTACCTTGTGGTTCTAAACCTAGGCTTCACATGTGCTAGATAAGTGCTTTATCTACTGAGTTAACATTCTCAGTCCTAGATATACAGATTATTAACGTGGAAACTTTCTAATCCTAACCTTCACTTGACTGATTAGTTAGGCCAGATTCTTCCATTTCCTAAAGTCTACCCTAATATGCTTAAGTGTTTCTATTCTCACTAGATGA